AGGGGTATATTTTTTCTAGACAAAAGCAATTCAAATCACTTTTTATTCTTTTTTACAGTTTCATTTTTTTATGTGATAAACTTGTTGTTGAAGTCATCTTTTCAGCCATCAAATCTTAATGTTTTTCTTCCTTGCCAAATTCACATTCCAAAATAAAACCCAAATAATGGCTTCTAAGGAAAGCTACAACTGCAAGATGTCAAATTAAAAGTAAAATGATGCGATAATTAATCACTACATAGGCATTCGACAGAAGATGTGGATATCACTAACGACGAAATACAAAAGATTGTGACAGATACAATTAATGAAAAGATCGGAAAAGAACATGTAATGTTTCGAGAACAGCTTGAATCTTTTATCAGTGAATATCTAAGAAAAACAGATAAATACTACAAACTTTCGAAAAACTGCATCAAACATATGGGGTAAGTAACAGTTTATTTGTTTCTATCGTATTTGGTTTAGATAAAGATTTCTGCATTTTAAATGTTATAGTTGATCTGAAATGAATTATTTAATAAAATATTTTGAAATTTTCTGGAAAATGGGAAGTAAAAGATCTAACGACATTTGTTTGGTGGAAATACTGGGTTATTCAGCCTCGTTTGTGCATAAGTTCTTTGAGAGATCTTTCCTTGTTTGTAAATGATATTAGGACTTGTATAGGGAAAAGACATTTAAATGCAAAGAATTTTAGAAACTGAATTGATCTAGTTTACCCGTTCAGTTGACATGCACTAGCAAAAGCCCACAAATTGTCATAATCATCCGATTTTTCTTCCGCATTATTTTCGGTGTCACTGAAGATCTGGCCTATCCCGAAGTTGTTCTTCCATCCTTTGTTCATCGTGTATACTCCTAATATACTCTCTCCAACATATTTGCTTTTTATTAACCGATCGAGTAATTCATGTCATTCAAACACTTTTAATCACTTGCAAGTTCATATTAATATTTATTAGCTTTCAACGGTTTAATGGTTGCTTAAAGATTTCTAATTGCTCTGCAATAACTTTTAAACATTGCCAGCATTTATAAATTTAGCGACTTTTTACTATTTCTTTCTGACAATCCAACAGGTTGATGTCATCAGAAACACAGTGTAATGATTGCAAGAATCAAAATTTCTTTCGAGAGACCGAAATTAAGTCGCACTGTTTATCACGTGCGCAAGCATTCGGCTTCGTTGATCTTTGTTCGAGGAAATTTAGACGTGCCATATGTGAACCAGGTACAGCAGTTGGCGCTGTTGCTGCTACTAGTATTGGTACGTTATTTACGAAAAATGTAATTTGCTAGATCTTTTACATGTGATGATCTTTTGAATTATTTTCACCTGCTTATTGAACCGATCGCATCAAGTTACTAGTCAGACATTTTGCATTTTATAATTGTTAAAATGGCACATGAAAAATATTTCCAGGTGAACCGTCAACACAAATGACGCTGAAAACATTTCATTTCGCTGGTGTTGCTTCTATGAATATCACTCAGGTATATTTTTGGCAGAGTTGATGTAACAGAAAAGGTTTCTGGAGCTCTGAATTACTACTTTGAACAGTTTCTCTCTTAAATTAAACAAAATTAGATATCACTGTTAGAAATGCTTCCACATATTGAAACGTTGAAGTTCCGTGGAAGTCATTCATCTCAAACGCCAAAATGATAGTGTCTTGGCACTGCCTTCATTTTGAGTCGAAATTTATGCCATTTTTAGGGTGTACCACGAATTAAAGAAATTATTAATGGTGTAAAACTGATCTCAACACCAATAATCACAGCTGCACTAATGAATGAAAAAGATGAAAAATTAGCACGACGAGTGAAAGCAAGAATTGAGAAAACAACACTTGGTCTTCTTTTTTATTTTTTGAATTTATTTGATTTGCATGTCGATTTTTCTACCAATTCTGGCTTCCCAGATCATCATTTTTGAATTGGAGTTGGGAAAATGATTGAGTTTTGGAAAATTGAATTGGAGTTGAAGAAGTGATTGAGTTTGGGAGGTTGAAAGTAGAAACTAAATTGAAAACTCTCGACATTGTGTCCTTATTGACTTTTCTGTCTGCAGGTGAAATCTGTGATTACATCGAAGAAGTTTATTTGCCGGATGATTGCTTCATTCTGTTAAAGATCAATGCGAAACGTGTCCGGCTCCTCCAGCTTGAAATTACAATGTCATCAATTGCACAATCTATTTGCAGTTCAAAACTACCTGTCCCAGTGAAAATATCGCAGGTTCATAATTGAAAGAAATTTATTTTATTGACTAGCGAACTTTATTTTCCAGGAACGGAAGTGCTAAATAGTTTACAGCTTCTACTAAGTGGATCACTTTTCACTCCTGCTACATTTTATAATCCTTGATTGATTTTGTAACGAAAACTAGCTGTCTTTCCTAATGTTTGGCGTGCTGGAGTTTAACAATTTAATCAACGAACTTACGTATATTGTTGAATGTCTTGCTTTGTCAATTTTCTTTCTTAGGATAACCTTCATATTATAGACATAAGTTTTATCTGCCTAGAGATTTTGTCTATCTTTGTAGTCTTTATTATCTTTTTAATGCTTATCATCGCAGCATTTCCTTATCTGTTTTTTAAACATCTTATCAGAACTTTACTATTCTTTGAAAACTATTTCCAGATTAAAATTTTGGGTAAGACAATTATGACAATTCGACCGCCAGAATTGGCTAAATGTTCAAAAATGATGGCTATTCAATATCTGAAGTATAATATTGGAAATGTTGTTGTGAAAGGTATACATACTTCGCCTCGATTTATTGTTTTAGAATCAAATTTTTATTCTACCTGAATATAGATATCCAGCTAGTTAGAGTTAACGGTTTCTGCGTTAATCGTTACTTAGCACATTATAAAAAAAGCTCGCTTGATATAATCCAGTCGTTAGGTGTTAGTGATTTATTTTTATTTATATGAAAGTAATTCATTATATAAAAATAATTTTCAGGTCTTCCGGGCATTGTACGTTGTGTGATTCATGCTGATGAAAAGAAAGGCGATTCTTATAAATTACTGGTGGAAGGAATAGATTATCGTGAAGTTATGGCAACAGTTGGTGTTGATGGTCGTCGGACATATTTCAATAACGCACTTACTGTTGCTGATGTACTGTAATTACTGATATCATTACCATGCGTTTAAGTTGAATGATCGGACAGTTCTGATATCCTAAATATTGATGGCAGGAGGCTCCTCAAAGGCTCAAAGAAGTTTAACATGGCTTTCTATTTAGGTACTTGGCATTGAAGCAGCACGTTCATCAATCATATCAGAAATATTGTCCACAATGGCTTCACATGGAATTGGTTTGGATCAGCGACATGTGATGTTACTCGCGGATTTAATGACTTACAGGTTTTTTTGGTTTTTGATTTGTTGGGAAAATTTTTTCGAGGTCTTATAAAATTGGTAATCGATATCTTACATTTGTAGCTTTTTGTATTGTAATTGGAAGACAGCACTGCTACAAATTAATTTTATCCGTTTCTTTTTATCCTCTAAGCTTGAATACCTGGGAATTCTCAGGTATACCAAATATCTTCTAGAGAACAAGATCGAAAAACTTCCTAATAGGAGTATTCCTCTATCTTAGCATATAACTGATTGTTTGCATAAAAAATCTGTTAGAAATGAATAAGTTTTTCATGCAGTTTTATATATTTTAACAATTTAGAAATTTTTAGAATAAAAATGTAATTTAGGGGTGAAGTACTTGGTATAACGCGGAATGGCTTGGTGAAAATGAAAGAATCGGTGTTACTATTAGCATCATTCGAAAAAACGGCCGATCATCTCTTCGAAGCGGCGTTTTTCTCGCAAGAAGATAAGATTTGCGGTGTAAGTGAATGCATCATTCTTGGTACTCCAATCACGATTGGTACTGGTTTATTCAAATTACTCCGTAATCATGGTAAACAGTTGACAATACCCAAAATGAGCACCATTTTTGAGTCGCCTGAATTTAATTTGAAATTGTAATATTTTGCACCTTTGTAAAACAGACAATTCATTTTATCTTCCGTCCCCTCAAAATAACAGTAAATTAAAATAGAGATAGAACGGCTGGAATCAGAAGTCATAAGAGGCTGATGTCTGGTATAAAGTAGGACTCTTCCTTTGTTTCTCAGGACATTTCATCTTTTTGTTGACTGTTAAATTTATTTCACGGAATGCAAATGCAAAATGTTCTCGTAATTTTTAAAGACTAAAACTTATTGTATGTCTTCTGGAGATGTGTTTTTGAAAGCAATCGTCCCATCAATTCCTTTTTCAGTTCTTATCAACAAAGATGTATTTTTGTTGAACAGCAGTACTAAGAAGTAAACATGATTAGGGATACTTACCGAGTTCTGCCCTCTAGGTAACGGTAAATCAAATATACATGACTCTCATGACTTGACATTGTGGTAAAATATTCTACCGAGTGTAAGTTCCGGTGAAAAATGAAGTAAACAACATAATGTTCCAAGTTAACCACATAATGCTTAAAAAATATGTTGTGTATTGATTCAGTTACGGGTTTTTATTGTTATACTTGCGCATATTGTTTACTTTTTAAAAATAGCTCAGTATTATTATAACACTTCCATTGTTGCCTATTGCTGTTGCTTAATTTTAATAAAGTTACAATAAGTGATCAGTTCATGTAGTCCTAGAAATTACTTTTGGACTGTGAGAATTTTCAATAACTTGATGAATACAGGGAACTTAAATCATTATCACAACTACGATTCACAATAAAAGGGAAGTTCATAGTTTCATTTTGAAATTCGCGTCTACAAGACAGAAAAAGTTGTGTTTCCTTCCCGTCTATTGCGTCTTCCCTAATAGATACTTCTCTAACTGAATAGGCGTATTCGGCGTACAAAGTAGTTGCCTACCTTGTTCTGTCTATATTTTTTTGAACAGATTTATTTTAGTTTGAAGCTTAACGGTAGAAAAACACCTCAATCGGATGAATCAGATGTATTGTAAATACATGAAAGCATGCATAATACAAAAGTAGGATAGGCATAGATGACTCTATATTGGAAGAATATCCAAAAGGACTTGAAGTGAACATATGGAAATTAAAAATTACACATATTTACATGAATAGAAAAGATCAAATAGTAACAGCTCGTATTTGAGGGTTATTCGAATAGCTACGAAGTAGAGCTAAATAAGAGCCGTAAAATAACGAAGAGATCAATGATAAAGTGAGAAGAATAAGAAGAACGATAATATGGATTTTGTTACATTGAAGATTCTCATTTGCAATATCAACGTTTTTTCTTCACTCCTATAGCAGCACATATATTCCTATTTAAACATTCCGAACATTTCGGTAAAACAGGTAAACATGTTTGCTGCCCGAAGCCGACTAGCAATTTATTCAATTCTTGCCACTCTTCACGTGGAACCAACGCTTCCAGGGCTATCCGAGATTCCTTGGGATTTGAGGTTTTAATCTGCAAAAATAAATTTTGGCTTAGATAGGATGCTCTCCTAACAATAACTTCTTCGCTGAAAATCCTACTCATTGCTGTTTCAAAAGTAAAAAATATATGGAAAATAATAAAATGCAAGATGAAGGTTAATATTTTCAGACTTTATTATTTAGAAAGAAATAAGCTTTCCAAGAACGCTTTTGTTATTCATTTTATGAATGAACTATATCACGGTATTATCACTACAATACATTTTGTTTCTATTGACCTAACATTGCTTTATGCAGTAACATACCCATCCAAGTCTGTTACTGATGCGATGAACATGTGTATCGACACCAAGCCCTTTCATCTGGTCCCATGCATTACACATCGCAAGATAAGCCATCTTTTCGCCAACACCCGGAAGTGAGCAAAGTTCTTCAATCGTATTCGGTATATCGCCATCATAACGCTCTTTCAAAATTTTTGCTACCTTCTTGATGTACAAAGCTTTTTTCTAAAACAAAAAAGAGCAGATTTTAATCAATTTATTTGGAAAAAAAGAAAAAAAAGAAAACGGAAATAATTTTGAAGAGAGAAAAAATTTTCAGTCCAGTTGATTACAACAAATATCCGTATTAATCGGATAGCTCCTTCCAAAACTCATTTACGTAGCGAAGCAACATGTTAAGCTTTGATGTGAGCTACCAGTAAGCTAAGCGCAATGCTTTTGTCTGTGCAAACTTTTTTAATCAAATGAAATCTAGAGAATAATGAGCACTTCATTATATTTTTA